ATGTTTAACATTAAAATGATGAAGAGGATGATGAAGAAATCACACTTCGGTGGAGGGCTTACTATGCACCGTCAAATACCTTGTCTCACTTCCTTCCTGGCCCTGCGATGTAAGTCCTCCCATTGGCCTGTTTTATAGATGAATGTGCCAAGGTCAGAGAGCCAAGGAAGCAGCCAGGATTTAAATTACAGTCTGCAAGGCTCAAGCCTGCCTCCCAGCGCCTTTCAGCTGTTTCTTGTCTCCTCACCAGGTTTCACACCACAGGGCTCTGAGCAAGGAGGGTTCCCAGAGGAGCGTGGCTCTCAGCTGAGGAGTCTTGGAGGTGGTGGCGTTGGAGTCCAGCCTTGAAGCATGAAGCAGAGAGCAACGGTGCTAAAGCCTGCCATTCCTTCCAGAACCTGGTGGCCCTGGGCTCTGGGATTGGTTCTCCAGGACGTCACCACCCCAATCCACGTGGGCGGAGGTGGCGCAGTGCTGAGGGCAAAGCTCCGCACTGGGGGCTCTGCCAGTGCCCCGGCTGCATGACCTGGGGCCAGCCCTCAGTTTCCTCTACTGCAGAATGAGACCAAGAATGCCTACACCTGTCTGGTTGTCAGGGGATGGAATGGGAGGCCAGGCTGAAGCTCCAGCTCAGAGCCCAGCCTGTGCGAGGCCCCCACTGGATGCTGGTTCTCCCATTGCTTCTTTTTGCCTGAATCTTCTCTTCAGGCTTTGGGTTCACCTCCCACATGGGCAGGTTTTCCTCTAAGTTTCCCTCAAAGAAAAAAGCAAATAATGCCGCTGCTGGATTCCTGGCCCTGGCCACGCTCCACAATGAGAGGTGGGTGTTGCAGCCCCCTTGGCTGTGAGCTTCAGTCCCTCCGCACACCTCTGCCCTCTGATCCCTCTGCTTGCTCTCTCCTGAGTCCTGTTGGGCATGGTTACATCTCTCAGGAAGGCGAGTGACCATACACTCAGTGTCCTCTGGAAGGTTTGTGCAGGGTGAACGGGTCTCTCCTGGAGCACATGACTGCTCTGTGCTCCTCCGGCATAGTCTGGGTGGCCTGGTGCCTCTCCTGGAGCACATGGTTGCTGGGTGCTCCTTCCGGCATAGTCTGGGTGGCCTGGGCCTCTCCTGGAGCACATGGTTGCTGGGTGCTCCTTCCGGCACACTGTAGGTGGCCCGGTGCCGCTCCTGGAGCACATGCTCGCTGGGTGCTCCTTCCGGCACACTGTAGGTGGCCTGGGCCTCTCCTGGAGCATATGACCGCTCTGTGCTCCTTCCGGCACACTGTAGGTGGCCTGGTCCTCTCCTGGAGCACATGGTTGCTGGGTGCTCCTTCCGGCACACTGTAGGTGGCCTGGTCCTCTCCTGGAGCACATGGTCACTCGGTGCTCCTTCTGGCACACTGTAGGTGGCCTGGGCCTCTCCTGGAGCATATGACCGCTCTGTGCTCCTTCCGGCACACTGTAGGTGGCCCGGTGCCGCTCCTGGAGCACATGCTCGCTGGGTGCTCCTTCCGGCATACTGTAGGTGGCCTGGTCCTCTCCTGGAGCACATGGTTGCTGGGTGCTCCTTCCAGCACACTGTAGGTGGCCTGGTCCTCTCCTGGAGCACATGGTCACTCGGTGCTCCTTCTGGCACACTGTAGGTGGCCTGGGCCTCTCCTGGAGCATATGACCACTCTGTGCTCCTTCCGGCACACTGTAGGTGGCCTGGTCCTCTCCTGGAGCACATGGTCGCTGGGTGCTCCTTCCGGCACACTGTAGGTGGCCTGGGCCTCTCCTGGAGCATATGACCACTCTGTGCTCCTTCCGGCACACTGTAGGTGGCCTGGTGCTCCCAGCTGAGGCCTGGGGAGGCCCTCCAGGGCAAGAGCTGTGTGGTAGACACCTGTTCTTCCTGCCAGCCTGCCCAGCACCTCTCCCCCACCTTCTCACCATAGCCCTATAGACCCCCAACTTCCTGGGAGTAGTTCCTAGTTAACCACTCCTTACTCTACATGGTGTGGGTGAGCTCGCTCCACCCCAGCTTAATGGGTGTCCAAGGAGTGGCCAGTCAGACCATGCCACCTCACCAGAGAAAGAGGGTGATTAGCTCAGGAATGAACCTGGGTCCCCAGCCTGACCAATGGGAGCCCTTACCAGCACTTTTGTGGAACTATTAGGAAGGAGGTACTCTCCCTTCCTCGAGGTCAGATATAAATGTGGGGTTTCCAGTGGCGGCCTTGGCCTTCGTGAGGGGCGGACCTGTCTGAGATGTCTCCAACATGGGAAAACAGAGCTAAGAGATGAACAATGACTGATTTCAGTGACATAATTTTTTAAAAATTGATTTTAGAGAGAGAGAAAGGGAGAGGGAGAGAGAAGAAAGGAGAGGGGGGGAGAGAGAGAAACATCGATATAAGAAAGAAACATTGATCAGTTGCTTCCCACCCTGACTGGGGATCAAACCCACAACCTTGGCATGTGCCCTGACCAGGAATCAAACTGGTGACTTTATGGTGCATGGTATGACATTCAACCAACTGAGTCACGCTGACCAGGGCTCAGTGATGTAATCTGAGCACCAGGATCCAACCATGCCGGAAGCCAGAGTATCATCCTGGGTTTTTTTATTTCATGAGCCAGTAAGTGTCTTTGTTGCTTAAAGTCCATTCACCTTGGGTTTCTGCACCTTCCAGTAAGAAGCACTAACAGTGTGTCTTCCTCAGCACACGGTTCTTCATGCTCGTGGTAAGGCGAGGCACTGAGAAGGCGCAGTGAACTGAGCGAGTAAAGAACAATGTTCCGGGCAGGTCTCTCCTGAGCACTCACACCAGTGACTACTGCACCCCCCTCTCAGGTCACAGGGCAACCCACACAGCAGCCTGGGTTTTCATCTCCCTCTAGGCACAGAGTAAAGCTCAGAGGCTGGTTTCCTAGCCAGTCAGATAACAGATTTCTAACTTGGTAATGAGCTTAGAGCCCCTGGCTACCCTGGCAGGTTTCTCTCCTCTTGATTATTTATGACAATGTCAAACAAAACGTTATTTAGAAAGTACAGCCCAGCCACACCACTTCCTGGTTGTATGGCCTCGGGCTAATTGCACACTGCTCTGGTCTCCACTTCCCTGTCTGTAAAATGGGTGCAACAACTGTATCTGCTCCATCAGGTGGGTAGTGTGCAGACAAAATGATGACGATGGGGGCGAGGTGACAGGGTGAGGCGCCTGGCACGCACTGGCACTCCAGAAAAGGTGCCTTTAAAGCAACATTGATGACGGCTCAGGTGCATTCCCCTTTTTTCTTTTTAGGTGTTTCTTTTAGTTCTGCCTTCTAATTTCCTGTCATCAAGCCAGCTCCCTCTTGGTGACAACACAGCTCCCAAATTTTATGGCAACTCAGTTTTAATATTTTTTAATTGCCTTTGTGCTGCAACCTGGCCACTGGATATTCTCCTACACGCTTATATCGGCTGGTACCTCTTTGAGCATATACTTATTGATCCCCGATTAACAAGAAGCAATTTGCTCATATGACACTCTCCTCCAAGAGAAGGCACATGTATTTAATTAAACGATCACCCAGGTGTCAGGGGCACCACCCAGCCTGCCAGAAACTGAGTGGAAGCAATCTGCTCCGTGGCATTCATGAAGGTGGAAAACCCACACGGGGCTCCTGGGCACAGCCTTCCACTGCTCCAGCTGGAGGTCACCTGTGGGGAGAGGGGGGACCGAGCACAGAGCAGCTGGGAGAGGACAGTGCCTTCCAGCAGGAGGCATTTCTGGCTGTTCCCATAGTTTTCTATTCAGAGGTTCCCACTGGAGGAGGTAGGGCCTCACCAGGGTGCACCTGGATAGGTGGGCGGGTGCTGTTGTCATAGATACAGAGGGTCTTAGTAGAATTTAGTAAAGGGGCCAGTGGGCAGGAACACTACACTCCTACAACACATGGGACTCTCTTTCACATAGAAACCTGTCCCCTGAGACATGCCACCAGGAGTCCAGCCACAAGCACCAGGAGTCCAGCCAGTCAGAGGAGGGCTGAATCCGCGTTCAGGATGACAAGCCCTACACATCTGGCCTGCAAGACCCAAGCTTATTCCCGTAACACAAAGGTCCAGATTAGCACCCAGTCCTTCCCCTCCTGTAGGTCTGTTTTAGGGGCCTGCACCACTCTTCCATTTGTTTTGCACTTTCACTTGAATCCATTACTAACATTTAAAACACAGGAGGTTTCACACCACAAGCGCAGATTTCCGGCTTCTCTGGCAACCGTGGAGGCCATGGACGTGCCCCGTGTTCCCAAACAACCGGCCTGAGCTGAGCACTCTCCCCACGGAGCTGGCTTCGCTCACTGCCTGGCCCCTGCTAGCATCTGAGTTTGCAAACCCAGCTTCCTGCAAGGCCCCAGGCCTGACGACAGACCGCGGTGAACTGAAGGTGAACTTCCAGAGGCGGCACACTTTCGCAGCACTGAGGACACGACGCCTCTTTTGAACCAGACCCCAGTGCTTTGACCGCGGTCACTAAACACTGCGCCCACCGACTGCCGGCTTTTTCAAGAACCAGCACCCCAGAGCCCAAACTCATACTGACTTAACGTTAAGTGACATGGGGACCAACTTCAAACACAAATGCACAGTGACTCCACCTTTACATAACGAGGCATGATTACAGGCTCAGATTTCCCAGGCCCAGCACAGCCTGAAAGATCACAGCCTGGGCTCTTGCGGTGACTAATGCACAGGCCCTGCCAAATCCCAGCTTTTCATTACAAACCCACCTTCTCCCAGAACAGGAACAGGGAGGCAAGAGACGGCACTTACACGCCGAACAGTTTGCTACAGCTCAATCAAAAGTGCAATTAAGTCAGTGAATGGAGAAATAGGAGCTGGCATTGCAGAGAATACTCCCAGCCTCCGAGTGGGGTGACTGCATCCCACTCATGTGAACCAGCGCCTGCGTGCTGTTGATAAATCTAAATAGGGTTCTTATTTGGCTAATATTAAGGGCTGCCGGCGAGCGGCTTTGTCTTACCGGTTCCTCTGCTGAAGCAATATTAAATACTCATCATGTTTCTCATCAAAGTCTGTCACCATGTCCTTAGTGTAACCCTGAAATGAAGAAACAGAGCAGTGTGATATGGGAAAGCAGGGAAGCATTCGCTGAGGCCCAGCGAAGTGCACAGGAGGTGGAGAGGCAGAGGGTGACCTTGACGCAGGCGTGGCTCCCCAGGCGCGTCACTCAGGAGCCCCAGAGCCCCAGAGGTTGTCCGATGTCCCAATGGGTTGTGAACACACACAACTAATGATCTACGAAAAGGAGAAGCCGATTCCCCAGCACCACCGTTCATTCCTCCCATGCCCTACAAAATCAAGGTCGTGGACAAGATTTGAGCTTCACTCTTTTCTCCCACTTGTTAACTTTTCTCAAAGTTATAACCAGATGCAACCCAAATCAGTTGACTAAGAGGGGGTCTCGTTTTTCTCTTGACACCACAAGAGAAATGCATGCAACAACTCAGTTATTACAAATATCTGTGACCCAGAGAGTGAAGGTCCCTTAGGAGCAGACATGTGGGGATCTGTACCTGTCCTTTTGACAACAGAGCTCTGGATTCCCTTTGGGGAACCATTCAGCCCCTCCTTTCAGTCCACTGGCTGCCTTGGATGGCCTTGAAAGTTCTTTTGTTTGCCTCTAGGATCACATGACCTGGGCCTTGGCCTAGCCAGTCAACATAGTGCTTCCCGCAGCCACAATGATTCACTGGTTTAAGGTTGAGACATGACCAAGCTGGGCCCTTGAAAGACAGCCCTGGGCTTTGCTGACGCTCTCAGGGAAAAGCTGCTCTCTTCCCACTGCAGGGCTAAGCTGATGAGATGCAGGTCTGAATTGCCTGAGAATGAAGTCAATAAGGACAGCAGATCTGAGAGATGGAGGTTTCTAATGACATCATTTGAGCTCCTGGATCCACCCATGCCTGAAGAATTTAGTTACTGCTTTGCAAGTTTCAGCTGAGTTTCTGCCATTTGCAGCCCAAAGAATTATGTCAAAAATCATAATCTGACCATATAATTTTATAGGTATAATTAACAATACTACACGTTTAAAGCGACATATAAATATACTAGTAAAATTCCCATTATAATCCTATATAATAAAAGCCTAATATGCAAACTGTCCCCTCGTGCGGTCATTTGACTGGGAGACAGGGAGTTCAACCACTTGCTATGACATGCACTGACCACCAGGAGGTGGTGCGGAACATGGTGGGCATCAGCAACGTGGTGCTGGCAGTGGGTGGCAATGGAGACACTGCTGGCCCGATGGGCCCCGATAAGAGTGGGACTGTGGCGGGATGGTGGAGCAGGTGAGCGGGCAGTGCCAGGCCAAGGTGGGTGCTAGTCCACAGGCTGGGATGGGGATCTGGGAGTGGGTGGCGGTGACCAACTTCCCGGGGCCCCCCCGGGTGGGGGGCTGCAATCTCTTGCCAGCTACCTGGGGGCAGGGGTGACAGGAACAGAGGTGCGCTGAGAATGCGGGGTGTCTGCAGAGCTCGCTCTCACTCCCTCTGCTACCCTCCCCTGGGATGCCAGGGCTCGCACAGAGGAAGCCCCACGCTCAGGTGCCAGGCGCCTGCGAGGAGCCGGCCCTGCATCCACGCAGCCTCTTCTGGGTGAGCCAGGCCACAGCCGCTGGGACCGCAGGGGCTGGTTGGGCTCCCCGTGGGTTCGCGCAGAAGCTGGTCTGCAAGGCCGACCAGGAGAAGCAGGCTGCCACCTAGCTTCTCTGCAGCGCCTCTGGGCGGCCCAGAGGTCCCGCTGTGCCCCGGCCTGCTGCGTTCAGGTGCACTCTCTGCATCTCCGCATGGAGACTTGGGCACCATGACTCAGGTGGAGGGGGGTCCATGGGGGCCGGGGGGCCCAGGTGCTGTCCAGGGTCCAGAGATCAGCTGGGACCTGTCCTTCCACACCAGATGCTTGCGCTTCGATCACTGGCCAAGCCTAGGAACTGCACCCATGTATGAACCTCTAGTTTGATATATATTCTTCTAGATGTTTTTCTTTGTTTATGATATACATATATACATATTTATAAATACACACACAAACACACATCCTTTTAAACAAAAATAGGATCACACCATAAACAATTCTTTGCAATTTTCTGTGTTCCTTAAATAACTTTTTGCCAAGGAATGGATTAAAAAGACAGGATCAACTTGGTTCTAGTCACAAATTATAGGGATTAAGTTTTAAATGGCAAGTAAGATATCTGTAATAAAAATGCAATTGTGTGAAAATCCAAATGATTAACATGGGAAGAAAAAAAAATCTCTGTTGTTCTCTTCTTAACTTGTCAAAATGTGGCTTTAACCCCATTATTCTACCAGAACCCTACCCAAGGATGACTGAAACCTCAAGCAAATGTAACAGCTCTTCCCTTCCTCATCCCATTCAGCTGCTCTGTGCCCTGGGGAACTGCTGACCACTCCTGGCCGAGCTCTCCTCTAGCTTCTGCAGTTCTGAATGCGCCTCCTTCCCTCTCAGCCTTCTGCCTGGGCCTCTCTGGCTACCCTTCCTCCATTGGCCTCAGATGTGGATGGTCATTGTCCATCTCACCTTTCTGGGCCTCTCTTCCTGTCTTAACTTCTCTTTCTGATCCCAAAGAAATGGGCTGTGGAACCCAGAGAGTCACTCCTAGTCCAGGGCTGAGCCTTAAGGACACTGGGTTGGGAGGAGGCTCAGTTCCTTCCAGAATAACAACATGTGTGTGATGGGGACAGTTTATGCAGCATTTCCATATACACGGTTCTCCTTTGATCTTCACAGCAGCCCTTGAAGTAGTTATTATTACCCCACTTAAGATACAAGGAAACCCCTTCAGGCATCTTCCAGGAACTGGGATCCTCCTCCAAGGCAATTTACATAACCATTTTGAAATATTTAAATGACCGCTGATATATTACAGTATGGGATGAAACAGTCTATGACATTTTTAGATGAAATATGAGACTTCAAAGAGATCTCAGCTTGTGGTGGGCTGCCCTGGGCCTTCACCTCATACCCTCCAGAGGAAGACGTCATCAGAGACTTGAAGAGCACAGGCATAAATCCAGCCAAACTTTTACCAACCTGCGCCTCTCAAATGCTAATGTGCGCACCAATCACCTGGGGATGGTGCTGAAATGCGGGCTCTGATTCAGTGTGTGTGTGGGGGGCGGGGGGGGGGGGCCTTTTCTAACAGGCTCCCAGTTTGAGTAACAAGGCCCTAGATTAGTCCTTCTTACTCCCCACTATTCACAATACAC